GAGATGAGCACGTTGCTGACGTTGATGGCGGCGCCAGACGCAATCCCCGAGACGACGCGGCCAAACGAGAAGAGGTAGATCTCACTCGAGACCGTCTCGAGGACGCCACCGATGATCATCGTGATCGCAATCAAAAAGAGCGTACGCTGACGACCAAACTTGTCGGCGGGGTACCCGCTGGTCATGGCGCCGATCGCACCACCGACGATCCACGCCGTGACCGCCATCGTCCACTCGTTGCCCGAGTGGCCGGGAAACATGATGCACGCCTGGTCCGGAATCGGGACTTTCAAGCAGTCGACGTTGAACGGACGGTAGTTGAGCTGCGAGAGGAGCCAGCCGAATTGGAACGACCCCATGAGCGCGACCGCGATCGTCACATAGAGAATCGGCATCGGGATCAAGGCCGCGGCGTGCTCTTCGTGCATCATGCTCTCGAGACGACTGAGCCGGACACGCGATGTGCTGCGGCGGGACGCGCGCCACGAAGTGCTCGCACGCGGCTCGCTGAGACCAGTTTCGTCGTCGTCGCGCTGTGAGTAGTCTTGAATGGCCACATAGTCGTCGTCATGCTTCGCAGGCGGTGCGTCTTGTAATGCGACGTAGTCGTCGTTGTGCGAGGGGCTGGCCGTGGGCGTGGGCACGGGTGAGATGGCCTTGGGCACTGGCAGATGTGCTGTGTTGGCCATGGAGAATTGTGAAATGATGCAATACGCTGCGGCTGCGGAAGACCTCCTCGAAGGTAATCTATGTTACTGCCACTTCGCGTGGCTCGGTTCTCTGCCGCTTCCACATCACTGCGCCAAGTAATACTATTTATGTGTGACGACGTTTCATGTTTAAATAGTGTCCACCTGCACCAGAAGTGTTTGTATGCATCGAACACTATTTGAGCTTTTATGCGATGAGACACGCGACTTTGCCTTAGGTTTGAAGTTCAAGAATGTTGGCACCAAGTCTCCCATGTGGCTGCGTTTATAGCACGAAGAATCTTTCAGCGCCCATGCACCGTGCTGTCGCCGCGTACTGTCCTGCTGCACTCGATGAATCAGTTAAATGATGACGAAAGGTCGCGGCTGAGTGTCCCTTCCTGACGACAACCCTGCCGCGCTGCCAGCCAAGAGCTGTGATGCGGCGTGACACGTGCGATGATGCTGGAGCTATGAGCCAAACACGTGCCTCTAGCGCACCCGTATCCGAGAGCAAGCGGCACGTTACGGGGCCGCGAGAGTCGTTGAAGGCCCATTTTGTATGCTTGCCAAACCGTACAATTGCGCCGTCACAAGCTGGTCATGATTTGAGCCAATCCACGCCCTCATGTGGACGTAATTTCAGCCAATCATGGCGCGTATCCAAATTCTAGCCAATCACCGCGCGTTGGGACATCTGGGGACAAAGATCGATGGAACTGGTCCTGTGGCACGACGGCCTTGGCAGCGACGATGACGCAGCGACCGACGAAGAGTCAGCGGCGCGTGTCTTGTACTTCTTCCCGCCTCGAGCCTGCGCCGACCAGCTCAACGTGCTCCAATTGCTCCAGGGCGCCCACGCCTTCGCGTCCAGCTTTGGCGCTGCAGCCGCCGACGACGCGACGCATGTCCAGCTCACGACAATGCGCTACTGCTATCGCCGCTGTGAGTCGCACGTGTGGATTGCGCTCGTACGTGTACAATGCATGAGCCTATCGCTTCTATGCGCCGTGTGTGCTCTAGGGCGTACAGACGCGCGACGACGACGCGGTAAGTGACCTCGCTCACGCGCAGCCTTGAACGCCGGCATGCCTAGGCCGCATGCAGCGAAGCAGCAATGGAGGCCGCAGTCCATCAGCTCTACGCGACGTTCCGGCTCTTCTACGGCAGCATTGAAGCGTACGACATCAAGCGTCCGTGACCGCTCATGCCAGGTGTAGGCGCCTCGCCACGCATCGCGCGGGAACATCGGGCATGGACGTTTTGAAGCAAATTGGGGCGTCGCGCAAGCTGCTTCGCAAAGCCTCCTCGTACGATAGCGTGCGATCTGATGTGTGCTTAGTGCGCTGCGTAGGCGGGTGCTGCAGGTGCGGGATGACGCCGACTCGACCGCGCTCCACGCAGCGCACGAGACGGTCGAAAGCCTCCGCGTCTCGCTTGCGCAGCTTGAAGACACCTCTCCGATCCACGAGTTTCGCCGCGTGTGCGCCGACTTTTTTCCTGTCTTTGCCCATGCGCTCGGTCTCGACGAGCAGGTGTCGTGCTTTACCGATCTCCACGGTACGCCTCGCCCAGTTTGGTCATCGGTCTGCAATTCGACGCTAGGGCTGATGTACTATCTTGAAAACAAACACCTGCAGCTACGCTTCCAGCTGCTTCTCCAGAGTCTCTCGACCGAGATTCCCGCGATCGTGTCGGCGGCCGCCTTTGTCCACGGTACTAATACTGTTGACAATATTGCATGCAGCGCCGACGGTCTCGTCTTGGGTAGGACAACTTGTCTGGACGCAGCTGCCCTTTGAGCAGCTGACATTGCTCTACACGGTACTTCGCCTCCGCGAGCAAGAGGGCCATGTGCGCGCGCACCCAGCGTCGCCGACGTCACTTTGGATGGATCAGACGCACACCGCCGACTTTTCGCCCGTGTGGGCCAGTAAGCAAGCCTACGCCGAGGTCAGCGGAAGTCCAAGTCCGCTCCTGAAGCGCCGACCGAGGTACCTACCTCGTCGCAAGATTTTATTGTGGACGAGTGAATATAGTGCGCGCGAGTACTTGGCCGAAGTCACCAATTCGTTCAAGGCGCCGAGCACTGCTGTCAACCACGGCTTTCAGTGCGTCGACGGGACGTATGCACTGCTTGGGGCAAAGGAGCTTTGGGCGCCCGCCATCTCTGTGAACGAGAAGACATGTCATCTTGTCGTGTGGCAGGTGGACCATGTCGTCTTCTGTTTGTACGGTGCTGCACGACGTAGCGTAGGAGCTGGTCGTCACCTCGGTCTTTGTCGTGGACGCAAGTAATGCGGCTGCGCTCTCACGTACTGCATACCAATGACTCGGTCGCCGTCAACCTCGCCGCATCTTTGTTTCTAGTCGTGTGTGGTGCGCTGCAGGACGCTCTCGACGGACATGCGCACGTGCGAGAAGCTTCGCGCCGCACGGCGTCGCCTCCCGTTGCGTGCGTCCTTGCATTGTGTGCACTCGGATTTAGGCACGGTCGCATAGGTCGGTCTGGCCGTTCGTCCATATGAACCGCATGACGATGGGCGTGCAGCTCCACAACCTCGCCAAATTGCGCGGTAAATCCCGGGTACGTAGCGGCCACGAGCGCCAACGATGCAACGTCAAGTAGGACGAAGCTGTCATGCCGCTGCGACTCACGGCAACCAGTGTGCCTCGACCGCTGCTGGACGTCCTCAACCACGCCCACGCTGAGATAGCTGCGTACGTTCAATTCTGCTCTTGTTTGTGTAAGCACTCTGCAGGCACGCGGCGCTGCTCGATGTGTGCGTTCAGACGCCAGGCGACGGCTGGGTCGTCGCGCGGCGATCGGGAAGTGTCGGCAGAGAGCTGTACGCGTTCTTCGATGCGAGTGTCGAGACGCTTGGCGACTTGAGCAAGAGCATGACCGAGCTCATCCTCCACGACTTTGAGAGCACGTTCATGTAGTCCCGTCCGCTCCATATCGACCCTACCCTTACCATTGCCCTGCACGACACGACGCATCGAGACGCATTCAGTCGACACATCCCATCGACTAACTTATATCGTATCCTCGTCGTCGATTGCACTCAAGAGTTTGTTCTTGGAAGAGTCGGGTCGTGGCGAAGTACGTGCGAAGGTCGCTTGAATCTCGTCAAAGGTTTGTTGCGCCGTCTCGGGCACGACGCTGTACACAAAGCCGATGACACAGAGGAGGTACCCGACAAAGAGCAAGAACGTATAGCTGCCGAGGGCCGACGGGTCGGCCAGCATCGGGTAGAAGACGCCCACGACCAAGTTGGCGAGCCACGTGCACATGGTACCGACGCCGCCAGCACCCGCGTGGAGAAAGTCGGGGAAGATTTCGGCCGAGACCATCCACGCCATCGGGCCGATCGAGAGACAGAACGCACCCACAAACAGGCCCGTGGACGCAACCGAGAGCGCGGGGCTTATGTAGAAGAGAGAGACAACGATGCCCACGGACGCGATCGCCATGAGCGTCATGAACAAGAGCAGCAGCGTGCGGCGCTTGAACTTGTCCATGATGCGGGCGGCCACCAAGATCATGGTCGTGCGCACGACGTTGACGATCGTGTTGCCGACGCGCGGGTCCGTGACGCCGGCGCTGAAGAAGATGGACGACGAGTAGTACATGACGGCGTTGATACCGCAGAGCTGCTGCGCCGAGCAGAGCACGATCGCAATCGTGAGCTGCTTGCGGTATTTTTCCGAAAAGAGCAGACTCCATCGGTTCACGCCGGCTGTCTCCTTGACCTCGTCGTCGTGGGCCGCAATTATGCCTTGCAGAGTCGCTTCGTAGTCGCACGGGCGATACAAGTGCTGAAGCTCGGCCAAGGCCAGCGTCGTCTCGCCATGGGTCACCAACCACACCGGGCTTTTCGTTGTGAGCGGGATCAAGAGGATCTGCGCAATACCCAGCACGATCGGGAATCCGACGAGGACGCGCCAGCCGTCGCCGTACCCGACAAAGTAGTGGACCGTGGTCACGGCCAGCGACCCGAACGCGACGCCGACCTGAAGCCCGGTCGAGAACATACCGCGCATCTGCGTGGGCGAGATCTCCGAGATGAGCACGTTGCTGACGTTGATGGCGGCGCCGGACGCAATCCCCGAGACGAGCCGGCCAAACGAGAAGAGAGTGATGCTACCGACGCCTGTCTGCAGTGCGCTGCCCAGAATCATGATGATGGCGTTGACAAGCAGCGTGTAGTGCCGACCAATTTGGTCGGCGGGGTACCCACTGCCGCAGGCGCCGATCGCACCACCGACGATCCACGCCGTGACTGCCATTGTCCATTGCCTCTCCGAGTGACCGGGAAAGAGGATGCACGCTTTGTCCGGAATCGGGACTTTCATGCAGTCGACGTTGAACGGACGGTAGTTGAGCTGCGAGAGGAGCCAGCCGAATTGGAACGACCCCATGAGCGCAACCGCGATCGTCACGTACAAGAGCGGTGTCGGAACCAGTGCTTTGGCGTGCTCTTCGTGCAGCATGCCTTCGAGGCGACTGAGGCGGATACGCGATGTGCTGCGGTGCTTGGCACGTACAGACAAGGGCGCCGGTGCATGCTTGGGGGTGCCCTCGATGGCCACGTACGTATCGTTGGGCGACGGCAGCGGCGTCGCGGCGTCGCCGAACGACAGCGTCATGCAGACAATGAAAAAATTGCAGTAAAAATATCGAATGCCCCGGTGCGGTCCGTTTCCTGGTCTGGTGCCAACGCCCGCCCTGCCAAATACTACCGCAGCGATATAAGCTCGACATGATCTTCAAGCTCGGGCGCCGCATCGTCTTGCTTGCATGCACACACGTGCAAAAGCGTTGTCCGTGTCTTTGGCCTCTGCCCACGCACTTGGCACGTCGTGGGCCTTGGACGTCGTGGTAGTGATGGGGAACTGGAGTAGTTGTAGCATTTCACGCTCCGTGCGAGCTTCGTTGAAGATGCTTTTACAACTTGAATCGAAACAGACTCGTGTTGTAGCCCGAAGCAGCAGCAGTGGCGCGTCAAAGATGCGCTGAATCAATATGGCAGCGAACACTTGCACCCGACTTGGTGCTCCAATAATTCACACGCATATGCTCGGCGACCTCTTCCCAGCGCTTCGCGGTCAGGCTGTACGGACAGTCGTGTCGCTCACCAGCATGACTTCTTTGAAGATATCAACGTCCGCTCTATTCGTACCACTTGAGATGGTTCCAGTACACTCGGTAATAGCAAACGTCCAGCTACGGCATGTCTCTCTTCATATAATAATCAACGACCGATTGCTTGCGCTCAGTCACTCGGACTGGTATGCTGCAATAAGGTGCAATCAGATTCCTAAGCACTAACATATTATTTTGAAGTCGACTCGACCTCGCTACTCGAAACTATCGAAGGGATCGACGTCGGCCACGGGCTTGGGCGACGGCGGCGAGACGCGGTCAAACTCGGCTTGGATCTCGTCAAACGTGCGCTGGGCAGTCTCGGGCACGACAAAGTAAATGAAGACGATGAAGATGACGAGGAGGCCAAGGAAGATGAGGAATGCATAGTCGCTGAGCACGTCCGGCTTGGAGAGCGTCGGGTACGAGATACCGACCAGAAAATCACCGCTAAAGGTAAACATGGTGCCCACGCCACCTGCACTCGCATGCAGAAAGTCTGGAAAGATCTCGGCAGCAACCATCCACGCCATCGAGCCGATCGAGAAGCAGTACGCGCCGACATACACTGCAGTCGCAAGCACCGAGAGGATCGAGCTGGAGTAGATGAGCGAGATCGAGATGCACGTCGCCGCCACCGCCATGACGCCATGCCAAAGAGGAGGAGCGTGCGCCGATGGAACTTGTCCATGACCTTGGCCGCAAATATCATGCCAATGGTTCGAACGACGTTGATGATCGTGTTGCCGATCCGTGGGTCGTTCACGCCAGCGCTCGCAAAGATGGACGACGAGTAGTACATGACGGCGTTGATACCGCAGAGCTGCTTGGCCAAGCAGAGCACGATCGCAATCGTGAGCTGGAGGCGGTAGCGTTTTGAGAAGAGCGACTGCCACGGGTTGATGCCGACCGTCTCGTCGACCATCTCGTCGTGCGACGCTTGGATCGCATGCAGAATGGCCTCCGTATCGCACGGCAGGTACAACCGGTTGAGTTCGGCGAGGGCCAACTCGGGCTTGCCGACGGAAATGAGCCAGACAGGGCTCTTGGCCGTGAACGGAAGAAGAAAAATCTGAAGACCGCCGAGCGCGATCGGGAAGCCGACCAAGAGCCGCCAGCCGTACGAGTAGCCGATAAAGTAGTGGCACGTCGTGACGGCGAGCGAGCCGAACGCAATCGCGACCTGCAGGCCCGTTGCGAAGAGCCCACGCATCTCCATGGGCGAGATCTCGGAGACGAGGACGTTGGCGACATTGACAGCGGCGCCGGCGGCGATACCCGAGACGAGGCGCCCAAACGCAAAGAGATAGATACCCGTGGACGCGCTCTGAATCGCTGCGCCGACAATCATGATGATCGCGTTGAAGTACAAGGTGCGTTGCCGACCGTACTTGTCGGCGGGGGCGCTGCTGCCGATGGTACCGATGGCTGCGCCGATGGTCCACGACGTGACGGCCATTGTCCACTCGTTGCCCGAGTGGCCGGGAAACATGATGCAGTTGTCCTTCGGAATCGGGTCCTCGCCGCACTTGGAGTTGAACGGCTTATAGTTGAGCTGCGTGAGGATCCAGCCGAGTTGAAAGGTGCCCATGAGCGCAACCGTGATCGTCAAGTACAATGCGCGTGCTGGTTGGAGCGCCTTCGAGTGCTCTTCGGTGATCATCGACTCGAGGCGACTGAGGTGGCGTCGGGACGACGAGCGATTCGTGGACCGCGACGTCACTCGCTTGCCATCGTACTGGGTTGGCGACGACGGCGGCATCGCCACATAGACGTCTGGCTTGGGCGTCGAGACGGCGCCAAAGTTGGTCGTTGGCAGGAGCTGTGTGCCGGCCATTGCAAGTTGTCAAGTGCTATGCCAACGCGCCAAAGATCGCGGCCCGTAGGTTGCGGCGCGTATCTCTGTGCACCACCCATTCTATGTTGCGGATGAGATTGAACTTCCAAACGACGTCGAGCGCACGCCACGTCATCGTGTTCCCGCCAAGCCTCCATGAGCTACCGCGCGCGCCTCTGTGGATCATGCATAAGGCTTGGAAGCACACGCGATGTGGACGAGCGGCAGTGCAGTTATCGTTGCGAAAACATGCGCAACGAACGGATTCTTCTTCTTCAAGGTGCGCCAACGGCCACAAGACGTGCTGGCGTGAGAAACCAAGGTGTCCGACCATGGGTCCGTGCAGGGGCACGATCGGCCCGTTCATTTAATCAAGTGTTGACTATACTGTACTAGTTGCGCAGCCAAAAAGCGCACAGTGGTCAGTGCACAGGGCGCTTGCACGACCAAGCGCTTGTCGTCGCACCAACTTTCACATCGACGGGCCAGTTGCGACTGTCGTGTTGGGTGCTTGCGCGGCGCACGGTTGGACTTGCCAAAGACGGTGCACGCTTGCAGCCATTCGTTGCCACAGGTTTTACCGGATGCAGCCAAGGTTGGAAACGATCGCTGGCGCACCGTATCCGGAAAAAGAACGACCCGACTGTTCTAGAACAACAACGGCACTGTCGTCACACAAAAAGACACAAAATTAGTTTATAAATCTAGTTGACGAGTACCTAGTCGATGCTCGCGTACGGGTCCAATTCGACTTGGGCCTTGGGCGACATGACCGGGAGCGGGTTGAAGAGCAGTTGGATCTCGTCCGACGTCTTGTGCGACGTCTCGGGGAGCATCACGTACGTGAACGACGCGTACCCGACGAGGAAGGCGAAGAAGAGGAGGAAGGCGTAGTTGGAGAGCGCGTTCGTGGCCGCGATCGACGGGTAGAAGAGGCCGACGATGAGATCGGCGATCCACGTGGTCATGGTGCCGATGCCGCCGGCCTTGGCGTGCAGAAAGTCGGGAAAGATCTCGGCCGTGAGCATCCATGCCATGGGTCCGATCGAGAGCGAGAAGGCGCCGACATAGATGGCCGTCGAGAGGAGCGAAATGACGGGACTCGCATAAATGAGCGAGAAGACGACGCCGAGCGACGCGACCGCCATGACCGAGAGACCCGACACGAGCAGCGTGCGGCGCTTGACCTTGTCCATGATGCGCGACGCGACGAGGATGCCGCCCGTGCGCACAATGTTGACGATCGTGTTGCCGATGCGCGGGTCCGTGATGCCGGCGTCAAAAGATGTCGGACGAGTAGTACATGATGGCCGTGATACCGCAGAGCTGCTGTGCCGAGCAGAGCACGACGGCGATGATGAGTTGCTTGCGATAGCGCTTGGAGAGGAGCGCTTGCCACGCGTTGATCTCGGCCTGCTCCTTCTCTTCCTCTTCGTGGGCCGCGATCATCGCATTGAGCATCGCCTTCGTGTCGACCGGCGCCACGTACAGACGCGTCATCTCCTCGACAGCTTCGTCGTGCTGCTGGTGGGCGACGAGCCAGACGGGACTCTTGGCCGTGAACGGCAGCAAAAGATCTGGACGGCGCCCATGACGACCGGGAACCCGACGAGGAAGCGCCAGCCGTACGAGAAGCCGACAAAGTAGTGGCACGTCGTCACAAGGAGCGCGCCGGACGCGATGAAGATCTGGATACCCGTGCCGAGCGTACCGCGCATGTGCGTGGGCGAGATCTCGGTGATGAGCGTGTTGGCGACGTTGATGGCCGCGCCGGACGCGAGGCCCGAGATGAACCGACCGACCGAGAAGAGGTAGACTTCCGTGGACGCGGCCTGGACGGCGCCACCGACGATGATCACGATTGCGTTGAGAAAGAGCGACCGCTTCCGGCCAAACTTGTCGGCAGGCACGCCGCTGCACATGGCGCCAATGGCCGCGCCGAGAATCCACGTCGAGATGGCCAACGTCCACTCGTTCTCCGAGTGGCCCGCAAACATGATGCACGCTTCGTCAGGGATCGGCACCTTGTCGCACTCGAGGTTGAACGGACGGTAGTTGAGCTGCACGAGGCACCAGCCGACCTGGAGGCACCCGATGAGCGCGACGGCCGCCGTAATGTACAAGGCCGACGTCGGCATGAGCGCGGCCGCGGTCTCGTCGGGCAGCATGGCTTCGAGGCGGCTGAGGCGGACGCGGGACGTGGATCGGCGGGACGCGCGAAGCGAGCCGGTGGACCCGGTGCGCTTGAGGTCGTCCGTCTTGGCTTTCGGTGAGCTCTTCATCGGAAGGTACACGTCGGGCTTGGGCTGGACCGTCGTCGGTGTGGCAGGCGCCGGCACGTAGGCGTCGGTTGGTGTCGAGGCCATGGTATTGGGAGGGACAGCAGCCGTGAGGCAGTGGAGTGGTGCTGGGAAGTGGAAAGTTGTAGAATGAGCTGGTGGATATCTGCTTGATTTCTCGCGTGCGTATCTTGGCGCAGCAGAGTGGTCGTTTTTTACGGTCGCTGATTTATGCGCCCGTGAGATAAGCAAGCCAGTGGTTGGATTTTGATACACTGGATGCGACACGCTAATTTGCTTGTCGCGGACCTGCTGCGAAGACACGTTAGCATAGAAGATGCAGACCCTGCATGTCTTGTCGGCGAATGACGGCACGGGCCGGAACATGGTCAGCACCGAGCGCAACTGCGTGGGTGGCTGCGGGCGTCGTCGTCCTCCAGAGCTTTTGCATGTCTGTGTTGGCTGTAGACAATCCTTTCTTGTACACTACATGCTCAGCGATAGCGTTGGAACAGCGAAATCAACCGCGGTGACGAGCATGGAGCAGAGCATGTAAGCGGTGCTTGCGTTAGGCGATTACGCCTCGAATGGTGTCGCTAAAAGCTTGTCGATGTGTGCAAAGACAGCGTCGCGCTCTTGGATGAAGGTCAATTGGCTCAGCGCGACACGGAGCTCGTAGTCAGCACCCAAACTTGCCTGGAGGAGCCCGGGGGCTCGGAAAAAGTCCTTCTCCGTGGTCACGACAAGGACGTCACGGCCATCTCGGTGCGTCTCGATCGCCGACGCAACAGATTGGAGGTCCTCGGTGGTGTACGCGTGGTGGTCGGGGAAGATTTCCATGTGCAGCGCCGATGCTGGAAAGACCTTGCGCAACGCGTCTTGGAACGATGCGGGGCAGCCAATACCGCAGAGGCCGACGACAAGCGCGGTGTCTTTCGTCGCGAGCGGCGGCGCCACGCGAGTCTGGACACATGCAGCCGCCTCGGACACAAGGGGCAGCGCCGTGATCTCCATGCGCGTTGTCGCGACCACCGCGTCCGGGCGGAGCCACCTATACCGATGTTATAGCACATGCCTTGAAAATCCAGGTAGCCAGACGGGCGGATTCGGGTCGTTAGTGCGGCGACCTCAGTCGGTTGCAAGTGGTCGGCGTGGTGAAGGATCACAATGTCGGCACGCGGCAGCGCAACCTCAGGGCGCTCGCGCAAACGTCCCTGGGGCAGCAGCGCGCCGTTGCCAAATGGATTGTACGCGTCCAGCATGACGATTTCAAGATCCTTTTGCAGCGAGTATTGCTGCAAACCGTCGTCGACCAGTGCGATCGCCGCCTTTTTACTACGACAATACATAAGATCTCAGGTGCGATCATATAGCCAAGAGGCACCTGCTGTGCGCGCATATCTGCTTCATTGCTGCCTCGTAGCGGTGCGCGCCCAGCGCCAGTGCGCTCTCTGGAAACTCGGCAGCAAACATCTTCCACTCGTCGTCGCCGTATCCCTACGCGTGCGAAATGATACTTTTCTTAAGCCCGCACCAAGTACCCGAGACACGAGCATAAAGGGCACGTCACGCCCAGCGAGGTACCGCGCCACGTGGTGCAGGCACGGCGTCTTGCCCGTCCCGCCCCACGTGACATTGCCGAAGCTGATCGTGCGCAGCGGGAGGCGTTGGCGCGGTTGTGAGGCATAGTAGGTACGGCGAAGTGCACTCAGAGAGCCATAGAGAGCGCTTAGAGAAGAGAGCGCCCCTTGCACCAGCGGGTGCTGCTCGTGGCGGTCCAGCATAAGCTGTCGCCACACGGCGCGCCGCAGGTCGCGCTGCCATTGCGTGCGGGCCATGACGGATTGGCTGGTTTTATCCGTACAAATCCAACCAATCACAGAACGACAATCCGATCCGAGGTTGACAAGCAGCGCTGTAGACAGCAGCGAGTGTAATTGCTGGACGTCGCACGGGACGAGGCACGAGGCAGCCACGCCGTCGCATTCTCTAGCGCCGCTCAAGAAACAGGCGCCTTCTTCGACAGCAGAAAGAGTGCTGTGTCCACCCCCCGTGCACGGTCGGACGCGCGACTACGAAGCGTAGCACGCTCGGTCTCTCTTGTGGCGGCGAGCCACACGGAGTTTGCAACGGCGGCGCAATCGCTTACCCGTGAGCGACGCAGTCGTCGCTGTTGTTGCTAGCAGGTGTGTACCTCGCTGGTCCGTGGCTTTCCCACGCACTTCCTTTTCGCGTACTCGCCTTCTTCTGACGCTTTACCCGAGGCGCTCGCGCCGATTCGCCGTTGGCTGGGTACGAGGGTTCGAAAGACATCGCTATTCGGCGAGGAGCAAGGCTTGAGAACAAAGGGACCTGGATGCCTGCATGTTTATGCGCACCGACAACAAGGCTACGTTCGTTCGCCCGCTCCTCTGGAAGCGGCACCGTAGCACAGTGGAAACCTCCCATCCCACGCTTCAACGCCGCCTCAAGACTTGCCTGTCGTTCGTTCACTCTGTACGAAGAGCGCAGCGACAGCAAGGCTGGAGCGACGGCGGCCCTCAGAGTCGTCGATTATGCCGCATCGGTCGTTGCGACCACATCCAACGAAAGCCAACACATCCGACGGCGACAGACAACAGCAGGGCGATTCCAGGCGCGTGCCACGCGTAAAGAGCGCGAAAAGTTGAAGTCACTTTTATCTGCCCCATCCACATGTCTCAAATCAAAACACTGTTTTGGTCCAGCTTTGGCCACCAATCCTGTGGTTTGAGACCTCGCGGTAGCATAAAACCGGCTTTGTCACATGTTGCCAGGTCATCAGGTTGCGAAGACACGCACGCACGCGCTACACACGTGAATCTTAAGAAATCAAGCGGCCCCTCCAGCTCATTCTACAACTTTCCACTTCCCAGCACCACTCCACTGCCTCACGGCTGCTGTCCCTCCCAATACCATGGCCTCGACACCAACCGACGCCTACGTGCCGGCGCCTGCCACACCGACGACGGTCCAGCCCAAGCCCGACGTGTACCTTCCGATGAAGAGCTCACCGAAAGCCAAGACGGACGACCTCAAGCGCACCGGGTCCACCGGCTCGCTTCGCGCGTCCCGCCGATCCACGTCCCGCGTCCGCCTCAGCCGCCTCGAAGCCATGCTGCCCGACGAGACCGCGGCCGCGCTCATGCCGACGTCGGCCTTGTACATTACGGCGGCCGTCGCGCTCATCGGGTGCCTCCAGGTCGGCTGGTGCCTCGTGCAGCTCAACTACCGTCCGTTCAACCTCGAGTGCGACAA